AAATCTCCAGAACAATAAAGCCTACAAACTTGAAATTTGGCACGTATGTTCCTCTTGGCTTCTAGGTGCTCACTAAGAAAGGATTTTTCGAAATGACCATCAGAGCTGTAGTATTTCCTATATTATTATTATTAACAAGCTCTGATGCTGAGGAGTTCTACTCCCCCTCCCCACCTGAAAAGAAATTTCTTCCAAAGGCAAAATATAAGCAGAGGAGAGGAGTTTCAGTTTGAGAGCACCAAGCAGCTTTAGTACAAAACAGTTGAGCTAAGCCACGCCCAGGCTCCTTGCTGTCTCGTTCTTGCTCACACAGCAAATACTGCTTCAGTTTCCATGTTTCAGTTTCCAAACAGCCCTCAACTCTCTCACACACTGACAGGATGCTAGCCAGATGAATACCGATGGATGGTGGTAGGCAGAGGCAGAATTTTGTCCCCCCTTTTCCTCCCCCAAAACAACACCCAACCACATAGTTTCCTAGTGAAGCATGGGTATCGAGCTAGTTGAGAATAAGAGCAAGCCAGGATAAAGAAGGCAAGCAAAGCAAAGGAAGACTTTCCTTCAAACTTTCCCCATAAGGGATGGATCTGCGGAGTAGGTGAGTCTCTTTCAACTACAGGTAGTCCTTGGCTTCCAACTATTCATTTAATGACCATTCAAAGTTACAACGGCACTGAAAAATTGACGGTTTTTCAAATGTCACGGCAGCATCTTCATAGTCACATGATCAAAATTCAGAAGCTTGTTGCACCGGCCTGGGGTCATGGGATCACTATTTGTAACTTTCCCAGTTTCTGACAAGCAAAGTCAATGGGGGAAGCCAGATTCATTTAACAACTCTCCTGCTTGGAAGGGGGTTGGACTAGAAGACCTCCAAAGTCCCTTCCAGTTCTATTCCGATTGATTGATAAGAGCGAATTTCACTGGAGGTTTTTAAGAAGAGACTGGGCAGCTACTTGTCTCTGGTGGTATAGGGTCTCTTGTTTGAGCAAGGGGCTGGACTAGACCTCTAAGGTCCCTTCCAGCTCTATCCTGATTGAATTTCACTGGGAATTTCTAAGAAGAGACTGGACAGCCCCTTGTCTGAAATGATGTGGGGTCTCCTGCTCGAGGAGGGGGGCTGGGCTAGAGGACCTCCAAGATCCCTCCCAGCTCTACACAGAATGAATTTCACTGGGGGTTTCTAAGAAGGGACTGGACAGCCACTTTTGTCAAAATAGTGTAGGGTCTCCTGCTTGAGCAGGGGGGCTGGACTAGACGACCTTTTAAGGTCCCTTCCCAGTTCTATTCTGATTGGTTGTGCTAATTTCCCTGGAGGCTTTTAAGAGGAGACTGGACAGCTACTTGTCCCCAGTAGTATAGGGTCTCCTGCTTGAGCAGGGGGCTGGACTAGACGACCTCTTAGGTCCCTTCCCGGTTCTATTCTGATTGATTGATTGGGCTAATTAACAGCGGAGGTTTTCGAGAAGAGACTGGACAGCCCCTTGTCTGAAATGATACAGGGTCACCTGCTCGAGCAGGGGGGCTGGGCCAGACGACCTCCAAGGTCCCTTCCCAGTTCTATTCTGATTCGACTCCCCAGTCAGCATGGGGGGATTCTGGGAGCTGTACTCCACTCCTAGTGGCCAGGTGTGGAGGAGCCCCCGAGGAAACGGGGAAGGCGTCTACTGGCCTGTCAAAAGGAGAAGGAGAAGGGAAGCAGGCCGTCTATGGAGAGACACACCTCGGGCCCATCAAGCCTGGGAGAGGGAAGGGAAGCCCAAACGAAGCCAAGCTGCGAGGGACGGGGTTGGCGCTGCCCGAGAAGCGGCCCTCAGCACGGCGACGGGCACTGCCCCAACCCCGACAACCCGCCTTCCCAAGGGAGAGGGCCCATCTTGGGCTCATTCGGAGCCAGCCCAAGGTAGGCCGCACTCCGCTCCGGGGCTTTCCCCGCCTTAGCGCGCTAGGCCTCGACGCTCGAAACCCCGCGCTATCCCCGCTCGGAAGCCGAACTCGGACGGCCGGGGGTGGGGGCGACGGAAAGCGGCCCGGGGTGGGTTCAACGGAGCTCCCCGCATCTCCTCCCCCGCTCACCATTGTGGTCCATGGTTCGGCCTAGGGCACTCTGGGACCGGAAGTCGCGCGCGCGCGCTGCGACGGGGTGGGCGTGGCCGGAAGCTGACGGGCCGCGGGGGACGGGAGAGCGGAGAGAGAGAGGAGAGTGACGCCGCGGAGGGTTAGAGGTATAAGATAGACTTTCTGATACGGTGCTTCCGAGTTCCTTGTAGAAAATATTGCGCCTGCGCACTAGAACTGGAGAGAGATTGGTCCATGGGGGAGGGGAAATTGGGAATTTTAGAAAGGGGGAAAATATTTATTTTATTGATTTATTTAGTTTGTCAAGCATGTATGAGAAAACAAGTATCAGTATGAACATAACATATAAACATATAAGTATATACAGGTATAAGTATATACATACTTTTATTTATTTAGTCATATTTATTTTTGTATTTATTTGATTTGTCAATTGCTTACAAGATGATAGGTATAAGTATAAACATGAGTAAGAATACAGGAAATAGGTACGAATAAACGGGGACATAGGACAGGGACAGTAGGCATGATGGTGCACTTATGCACTCCCTTTACACAGACCTCTTAGGAATGGGGTGAAGTCAATAGTGGATAGTAGTGGATAGTTTAATATCTCTCTCTCTCTCTCTCTCTCTCTCTCTACCTACCTACCTACCTATCTATCTCTTTCTCTCACTTCATCTATATACCATCTCTTTCTCTCACTTTGTCTATCATCTCTTTCTCTCGCTTCATCTATCTATCAATCATTTATTTTTATTTATTTGTCAATCGCTGACAAGATAGTATAAACATGAGTAAGAATACAGGAAATAGGTACGAATAAACGGGGACAGTAGGACAGGGATGGTAGGCACAATGGTGCATTTTGATAGATGGATAATGAGTACGAATAAATGGGAACAGTATGATTTAATTTAATTTAGGTTTCATTTAAATTAGGTTTAAATGGGATGTATTCCGGTAGAGCTGTGCCCCGACTTGGGGTAAGAGATGCCAAGATGAGAGTGTGTGTGTTTTCTTGAGTGTTTTTCAATCGTAGTAACTTTTTAAGATGTGTGGACTTCAACTCCAAGAATTCCCAAGCCAGCAACACTGGCTAGGGAATTCTGGGAATTGAAGCCCACCTACAGGGAGTCCTCGACGTACAACCACAACTGAGCCCAACATTTCTGTTGTTAAGCGAGATACGTGCTAAGTGAATGTTGCCCCCTGGAACGACTCCTTTGGCCACATTTGTTAAGTGAATCACTGCCATTGTTAAATTAGCAATGTTCAGTGAATCTGTCTTCCCCATTAGCTTTGCTTGTCGGAAGATCATGCAAGGGGATCACATGATCCCAGGACACTGTGACCGTCATAAATATGAATCAGTTGCCAAGCATTTGGATTTTTGATCATATTTTGACCACAGGGTTGCTGTAATGGTCATAAGTCACTTTTTTCAGTGCCATTGTAACTTCAAACAGTCACTAAAGTTGTAAATTGAGAACTATCTATCTAATCTATCAATCAATTTGTCATGTATCTCATCAATCTATCATCAATCATTATATATTTATCTATCACCTATCTGTTTATCTCATCTATCATCAATCTATCATCTATCATCTATCTTACCTATCAAATTGAATGTATCATTTAGCTCATCTATCAATCATCTATTTGATTATTTGTCATCTATCTCTTCAATCTATCAGTCATTATCTAATACCTATCATCTATCTAATTTAATATATCAACATCTATCATCTTCATTATCATCTATTTGTCATCTATCTCTTCAATCTATCATTTATCAGTCATTATCTAATATCTATCATCTGTCTATTTCATCTATCTCATCTATCTATCTCTCAATCTGTCATTATCTATCATCTATTTGTCATCTATCTCATCAATCTATTATGTATGTCATTATCTAATATCTATCATTTATCTATCTCATTTATCATCAATATATCATCTATTCTGGGTCATCCATCTCATCTATAATATAATTTATCATCTATCATTTAGCTCATCTATCAATCATCTATGACCTATTAGTCATTATCTATCTATTATCTATCTGTCATCTATCTCATCAATCTATCGGTCATTAGCTACCTAATATCTATCATCTGTCTCAGGGGTCTCCAACCTTGGCACCTTTAAGACTTGTGGATTTCAATTCCCAGAATTCCTCAGCCAGCAAAGCTTGGTACCACTTTAAAGCAAAGCTGGCTGAGGAATTCTGGGAGTTGAAGTCCACAAGTCTTAAAGTTGCCAAGGTTGGAAACCCCTGATCTATCTCATCTATCATCAATCTATCATTCTAGTTCATCTGTCTATCTCACCTATCTAATCTCATCTCTCACCTGTCATCTATTTGTCATCTATCTATCTATCTATCTATCTATCTATCTATCTATCTATCTATC